ACTTTTGTGTATGGGGTTAGACAGTGATCCAATTTCATTCTCTTACATGTAGCTGTGCAGTTTTGCCAGCACGGTCTGTTGAGGAGACTGTCATTTCCCCATTGTATGTCCATGGCTCCTTTATCGTATATTAATTGGCCATATATGTTTAGGTTAATGTCTGGAGTCTGTACTCTGTTCCACTGTTCTATGGCTCTGTTCTTGTGCCAGTACCAAATTGCCTGGATTACTGTGGCTTTGTAGTAGAGCTTGAAGTTGGGGAGCGAGATCCCCCCCCACCCCACTTTATTCTTCCTTCTAAGAATTGTGTTGGCTATTTGGGGTCTTTGACCGGTCCATATGAATTTTTGAAGTATTTGTTCCAGTTCATTGAAGAATGCTGTTGAATCCTTCTTGTTTTTGACTACATAAATGACTGTGCTTGTTTGCTGAAATCAATTGTCCAGGTTGCAAATTATTTTATTAGTGCTGGAGGAGGAAAATCAGCTTCGGTGTAAAGTTAAAAACATAAGCTGGGTCTTTCAAAGTTCTCAAGTAAATCTTACCATAGTATGACTTAATTGACACAATGAAGACTTGGGCTATGCTGAGGTATTTTCTTATCCTGGGGATATTCATACATTCCAGGCCAAGTTACTCCTGGCTTTTTAGTTCTAACTCATTTTCACTAAAGAATGACTATAATTCTCAGTTTGATATTTTTACCTTAGATAATTAATGTGACCCTGACTTTGCTTTATGTTTAATATGGAGTTTCATAGGGTTTTCTTTGCACATTGTTACATTGTTCTGACTGTGATTAACCTGCTTTTTTTCCAGAGGCCCTCACCCTACTGTGTCTAAAGCCACAGCCCCTGTCTCACTTCCAACCCAAGTATTTGCAGAGATGAGGAAGAATTTGTTCATTTGAACAAATCCCCTGGGTGACAGGTACACAGGGAAAATTTCCACTTTGCTCTGCACCCCACTCCCCATGCACCGGGCATGCTCTGGGGTGTAATTTAGTAGGAAGAGGCCCTGGCCCACAGAAGCAAGCAGCTGTCACCCAGCTCCCAGCAGGGCAAGTGCACGGGTTGGCTTCAAAAAGGATATGGGGACTGTGCCAGTTGAATTGTTGAAGAAAATCCCTCTAGATTTCCACTTCACACGGATCACTCACATTCTACCAGACGCCAGTTGAGACAGGGACCAGAGTAGGGTGAGGGCCTCCAGAAAAACATAAAAGCAAGATAATCACAGAAAAATGTTAACAATGTGCAGTGAAACCCCTACCAAAACAAATAATTTGCAACCTGTGTGATTTAGCAAGCAAGCCCAGTAATAAACAAGTAGTAAAAACAGGAAGGGTTCCATCTTCCACATAAGATTGCATTTAAAAGTAATTTAAAATTAGTAATAAAGTCTCTTCACATACTCTTTAACAAACAATAAATCTGCCCACCTTGGGAGCAAAGCAGGTAGTTTTGATTGATAGTCTCCCACACCAGGAATCTGTTCTCCTGGGAGGAAATCAGAGCCTTAAATGTCTTGTAAATAACGGGAAGACTGTTAAGAAATGTAATGTCTCTTAGACAAACAACATTTTGGGTCCACTTAGCAGGTGTGCATCCCTAGCCCTTTGTCTCTCAACCGCCTATAAATTCCCTGGACAAGCACCACCGTGAACTCTCTTGTCCCCTCCTGGTGTGAGCCGGGAGCTCTGCCTCCCGCTTTATCCCTAAATCAACGCCTCTCCCTGGTTCTCCTACTGTGTTTTCGAAGCTCACTCTGACTCCGGAACAAGAAGCCTGGCATCACAGGCACCCGTGTGTGCTTGCTTCCTGTATCCGGAGGCGCACAGAGCTAGAGAGCCAGGAAGGGGCTGATTCCAGGATTCCACGTGACCAGGCGGGGACCGAGGGCAGGTTTGGGGGCGCTGTGTGTCCTGTGTGCGTCACCCTTCCCCATCCTGCGCCCCCAGAGCTTCAGGGTCACGGAGGGCGGCCAGACATCACGACCCCATCAAGAGGCGTCCCAGGCGGCCCCTCTAAGTGTCAGGGTCAGGAGCGGGCGCTTAGGGGCCAAGGCCCAATCTCTGCCTCGCACTCCCCCGGACAGGTGCTTCCAGAGAGGACATACTCCCCTAAGGCTGTGCCCCCGGGGCAGATGCGGGGACCCCGGGTGCGTCCCAGGAGGGAGCCATAGAGGATGCGCGCCTGGCGTAAGGCGGGGATGGAGGACGGACGGGGTGGAGTCTCACAGTAACTTGCAGGTCCGGCTCCGGGCGAGCTGGTATGGTCTCTCAGAGAGAGAGCGGGGCGTGGCCGAGGCCGAGGCGCGGCTAGGAGCAGGTCACGGATGTCGCCCGGCTCCGGTCCCCGCCCCTCCCGCAGCGCGCGCCGCCGGCCCACCCGCGGGACCCGGCGGAGCCCACAGCGTGGGTTATGGCGGGAGCTCCCGCTAGGGCCGCGCGCCCTGTGACCACTCCGGACTCCGCTGGTAAAGCATTTTCCAGTCAGATAGGTCTAGGAGTAGAGATGCTGATTTTTTACTTGTTGAGAGTTCATGATGGTCATCAGCGGTGGATAATTGTGGGAAAATAGCCTAGTAAGTTTTAAAATTTAAATATGTTTGAGGGGTTTTTGTGATACAAATTTTCATGTATTTTCAATACACATGACTATGTATTACAGGTGCATATGTATGTTTCAGGTAGGAAGCTGACAGGTGAGTTGAGGGCCCTACAGCCACTGAAAATAAAGCAGCAGAGTGGTGGCAGGAGGTGTGGCAGAGAGGTGGGGACAGGCACACGAGGAGCACACCCAGTGTCTGGGTCTGTTTTCCTGTTTTGTTTTTCACTGTCCTTATCGGTAAAAAAATAAACAAACATTAATTCCTTCAGGCCCCCTCCTGAGCTTACGATAAGAAAAAAAATCAGAAATTAACAATTATTTTAAAGTTGCTTAGGAAAAAAATACACATATATGTATTATATACACATATAAAATCTAAGTTTGCCAACAACTTTCCTGGAAAATCTCACAACACAAATAAAAAAAACAACAATAGCTTAAAAAATTGCTAGTATTTATTGTGTGCTTACTGTATGGAGTTCCTTGCATGTGTATTAACCCACTTAACCAACAGCAAGACAGACATTATCCCCATTTCGAGAGGAGGAATCACGGCTTAGACAAGGTCTGAGACTTCACCGAAGGCCTGTAGCTGCCAGCTGGATCCCGTGGCCTGTTTGACCGCAAGTCCGTCTCATTCCTGAGCCTGTGTTCCTCCCCGCCTCTCTCCTGACTCATGGACGATGTTAACTTTTTTCTCTGGGAATTCTTTGAGGACAGATTTTTAAAATCTTGAGATCCCCCAAACTGGAGATTCCACATTTTATGATATTTTGGAATTCAAGAATATTTGTGGCGTATGGCACGGTATGATGCTGCGCCAGCTGCTTATCTGTCTGAATTTTATTAATTGTGGACATTTGCCTAGCAGGGGAACTAGATCATAAACTGCCTTAAAGGAGAAGTAATTACTTAGAAGTAAGATTGGAGCTTCCTCTAAAATAATCACAGAATAACATGTGGGAATACGTCGTGGTTATTCGGGCATGCAGTGTGGTACCAGATGAAATTATAAATTATTATGGCATGCAGTGGAGAGCCAGAACAAAATTGCAAGTTTTAGGGAGAAAAAAATAAAAAAAAGGAAAAAGGCAGTCGTATTTCTTCTTCACCCCACCCCACCCCATTTCCTAGCCAGTCAGCGTTCATGATGACCTTTCTAACACCCTGAGGACCTTTTTCCCAACATTGTCAATTCACGGACCCCCATCACTGTGGCATGGTGACCCCTTAGAATTCCCCATTGCTTGGCACTCAGAAATAATGTCCTGCTCTTCACCTTCCCCCACTGCAAGCCTGCCTACGTCTTTAATGCCTGTCTGCGACCTCTGGTTTTCCGTCCCTGTGGTCCCTAAGCTCTCTATTGTTACACTAGACACCACTCCTCTTAGCTGGCATTCTCTGGTCACTCGTGTACCCAGTTCAGTAGGCAGATGCTTCATGCCCTTCCTTGGCCCATCACTGATTGCCCTTCATCTTTGAGCTGATACTACTTTTTGGGTGATTTTCGTTTGTTGCTTGGTCCCCTGGCCTGAGATACTAAGATTTGCCAAAGGAATAATACCACCATGCTGATCAGACACACGGCATATTTGTGCTGCCCAGCTTAGCTGGACAGTATGTGTTTTTTTCCTGTTGCCTAAGAATTCCCTAGAAATCCGCCATAGCAGCTATGTCCTAGTTACTGCACTGACATCTGTTTGATGAACTTGTCTTTTAGTCTAGTAGGAATATCAAGGCTGTGTGGTGTAAGGTCCGTCGGCTTTTCTTATGTCTTCACCTCAAATCTACCTACCCTACTCTGCTTCCCAGACTGGACATGTGTGGTATTGATTATAGGCCTAATCCCTCCATCACATGAAGGGCATCTGAGGACAAGAAAAACCAAATCCAGCCGTGCTGTGATCTGTATTTCTTTTAAAGCTCCACTTCTAGGGATGTGTCTCAATCGGTGCCTTGGGTTTAAGGCACCCTCTTTGGAGGAGTGGATTCCTTTATCTTTATTTTGACCATTTGGGTGTGCAGTGGGGGGAGGGCAGGTAGCAGTGATGTTCTAAGCACCATACAGTCCAGGTGAACCCCAGATAATCCCTGCCTTCTCCCACCTCAGGCTTTTTTTTGCCCTTTGCTTGAATTCTTTCCTCTACCCTATCCAGTGACTTACTTACGTCTCCCTGCTCTTGAAAGGCCTCCACAAGCCCCACCCTCCCCAGCAGTCTTCCTCAGTTGCCCTTTATCTCTGAAGGGTCATATAACACTGTGGTCCAGCTGACTCACCTGAGTTCAAATCCCAGTTCCTATAAGACCTCGTCCTGTGACGTTGAGCAGGTTATATAGTCTCTGCAAGTCTCGGTTTTCTCATCTATAAATGGGCTTAGTACCTGCACCTGCCTCATAGGATTGTTCTGAGAAAAAATAACCTATAAAGTGTTTAGAAATAGTACTAGGCACATACTTAAGGCTCAAAAACATTAGTTATGTTGATGTCACCACCTCTCTCTAAGACCTTGTATAGCTGCAAGACAGGATAAAATGTGGTGGGGTAACTTGTGATACATCTTCTGTACCCGGCTCAGTGCTGTGCCCTAAGGATAGAGGCGTGTCTATCCTGCCTGGGCGCATGGCCTTCTCAGTGTCACAGGATAGCATTTCTTTGTTAATTCATTCAGCAAGTATTCCTCAGAGGCCACTGTGTTTTAGATGTTCTGATACAAAATTAAAAGACACATTCTCTTGTCTCTAAGAGCTCCTAGTTCAGTGGGAGATAAATATGATAACCAGGAAGGGTGACGTGCCATCGGTGCCGTTACTGGATGAGAGGGTGGCGTTCAGCGCCCCTGGGGGTGGGGGGCCGGGAAAAGCTTCATGAAGGAGGAACCCTTGAGCAGCATTCTGAAAGATGAGTCCTTTCATCAGGCCCTTGGGAGGGAGGGTTCAGGAGAACGTGGGAGAGGAGAGCAGGGACAGAGGCAGGGGGCAACAAATGAGTCGTATGTTTGGGGAAATTGCAAGGAATTCCGCAGGGCCAGAACACAGGTTCAGGATGGGTTGTGACAGGAGAATGCTTGAGAAGTCAGCTGTAGAAGATACAGAACCCCAGGCTAAGGAGTTTAGACTTTATACAAGAAGGAAATGATATGGTCTGTTTTTATTTTGGTTTATTTACTCTGTACAGATACATGCTGTACAGATGTACTGGATAAATATGGGAGTGTAGGCAGCGAGTCTGGCTGAGGGAATCCAGCCGGGTCCTGGGGAAGAGCGTGAGGAGAGGAGCAGTGGGGATGAATTCTAACCGTGTTCCCAGGGTCTAATCTGAGCACACAATGCCTGACGGGAGTTGGGAGCTGAAGACGGGGACTGTGGTGTGCTTGGAAATGTCTAATGGCCAGCGGTGGGGCAGGCGGGAAGGGGGAGAGGAAGCCGTCATTTGCTGTCTCTGCCGATTTCTGTGGTGCGAGTTCCCCCATCAGGGCTGATTTGGGGCTACCAGTGCGACAGCACTGAAGCTGGAATAGACACCGACAGTCTCGCACACCCGCGAGCCGGAGCATCAGGCCACACCCCGCTGGGCAGGGCGGGGTCCGGGTGCCTTCTGGGCTCTGCTTGAGGAAGCTGGTGGAAAGTGATGCCATGAACTCCAGGGAAAGGAGGATAATTGGGAAGGGACGGGGAGACAGAGATAATGTGTCTAGATGACAATATTCCAAGCTTGAGGTTGCTGGAGAAGATTTCTAGTAAGCAGTGGACGATTAGGTCTGGAGTCCCAGAGGAAGGCCCGGGCTGCGCAGATAAACTTGGGAGGCATCAGTCTGGAGATGAGTTACAACCACAAGTTACAACCACAAGATTGTCAGGAAGAAGTTTAGTGCAAGAAGAGAGAGAGAGACAAGGTGGCCAGGACTGACAGCTGAGGGCCGGGAACGGCCCGGGTCAGCCCGGACAGGGGCAGCCGTCACCGAGGGCCAGAAGCAAGCGGGGTGGGGGCTTCTTCGAAGCGGATGACGAGGGCACTGGAGGGAGGCGTGCAGTTGTCACCGGGGGCTGTGGGCAGAGGCTGGCTGCCCTTGGCAGCGAAGTGGGCAGATGCCCCTTTCAGGCCCAGGGCGGCGTTTGCTCCAGCATCTCTCAGGCGGCTCGGCCTCTGCGCCCCTTCCGCGGGTCCCCACAGCCTCCCCTGCAGCCGGCTGCCCTGCTTCCTCTGCCTCTGGCCCCGGACAAGCCTGAAGGAGGCCGGAATGGCCCAAGTTGTCGCGAGAGCCCCCCGTGAGCCTGTCAGACCACTGGTGCTGGTGGGAGGGGTGCATCCCGCCCTGCCAAGCGGCACCCTCAGGGCCGGATTCTGGGGCGTGGGCCTCCGGCGGGGTGATGGGAAGGCAGACAGGCCACCAGGCCTATTCGGAAGTGGCTTGAGTCAAGCGCTGGTGAGACCAAGTGTAAATGCCCGGCCCAGGTGGCGTGGGGCAAAGACCTGGCACCAAGATGTAGCCGTGGCAGGGACATGACTGGAATAAGGACAGGACACAAGCAAGCAGGGAGCTGAGGCAATCGCCCTACATAGCCTTGAGCACCTAGAACTGGCCTTTAGTGGGTACAGTGGGCTGGCCCAGAGGCCCAGAAGGGGGACATCCAGAAAAAGATCTTGTCGTTTTCTAGAAGAGCCCACAGATGTTGCATTTCTCACATCCAGCGTGGTGGGCCAGGTGGAGGGTTGGGCTGGTAGCCCCGCATGGCCCCCAGCGCCTGCAGGACGAGGCGCCTGACCACCCCACAGAGCACGTGACAGCCCTGTCATGTCAGGCTTGGCCAGCGTGGCACTAAGGGGCACGTCCAGCTGCAGGAGGAGGCCGTCGCCCAAGAACTGTGTCTGATGACACCATGCTGCAGGCGCTGCTCTGAAGGCACTCACTGGGGTCCCAAGAAAGGGACTGGCCCGGGCTGTGGAGCTGTGCAGCCTGGCAGGGCCTGAATCCCAGGCCACGCCCCAGGCACACCTGCTGTGAGCTGCTCTGTATTCTGCATGAGCAATTGCACTTAAAGTGGGGTGGAGATGCAGCCAGAGGAAGCGGCTGGCTTCTCATGGTGCACCCAGCCAGTTGGCAGGTTCTTCACTGCGGCTGAAGCCTGCCTGCCATCTGCAGACTCCCCAGCTGCCTCAGGAGTCAGGGTGCCATCTCCGTGCTTGAGGCCTGGGCACCAGGCTTACAGCAGCCTCAGGTCACCCTCGGCCTGAGCCAGTCAGCCAGACAAGTGTCTTCATTCCCCACCTGGGCTTCTGCACCATCCCAGTAGGATCAGAAACACTCAGGCTATGACCTCATCCTTACCAGCCATGGCTACCGAAACAGTGTGTGTCCACACGTTCCTCAGCTTCATGGATTCAGAAGCCTGATCTCAACCCCATTTGTTTTCTGATTTTGAAGAATGAGTTTCAGATGCACATTGATCTTCTCCATTGTCCACCATCGATGGGCCAGTGACCCCACAGCGTGTTCATCTGGAACCTTTTAAATCATAATAAGAGATCTCTATAGTAGATAATACACATGTATGTGTAGATATTATGGGTAATGTATTTATGTATATTTTGAGAATTCTGGCGCCAGGCTGCACACACACACACACACACACACACACACATATATACATATACACATACCCTGCCTTACGACAACAGGCCACTTAGAAGTATGTATAAAATGTAACCATATAAGCAGATACTCTAAAATTCTAATTCTGAATTCTAAAATTAGAATCAGGTATGCAATAAAAAACGAGCCAGACAAGGCAAATGCATGATTATGTCTTGAATTTCACACTCATGTACATGTGGCACAAATCTGGCCCTAGACTAACCAACAGCAACAGCTGTCTTGGATAAGGCAGCCTGGCCAGTGTTCATTGGACAGGACATGAAGTAATCACTCGGAGCAGATCACAATGATTCCTGGTGCTGCCCAGAGAGAGAGCCTGCTGTGGTCTTACCGAAGACCCTGCGGTTGTAAAGACTGGCGGGTTTGCAGAGAAAACACTGCTCCTGTTTATGTTCCCTTCCGTCTGACCAGCCGCATCCCATCAAACTGTCTTTCAAGTAAAAGAAAGTGGGTCAGGAACTCCTCTCTCTCTACTGTGGCATAATCCACTGGTAATTTGGGGGGCAGTGGTTCCCAGACCTTGCTGTGCATTTCAGCCACTGGGTGCTTTAAGAAATTCTGATGCCAGGCTGCACTCCGTTAATCAAAATATTTGGGGATGGGATCCACAGCATTGAGATGAAAAAAATAGTAACATGCAGCAAAGTTTGGGAGCCTCTACCTGGAGCACCTGTGGTCGGCGGTGCTGTTGAACCTGTGCACACCAGTGTATCCAGACTGGCGGTTAAAATATGGAACTCCTTCCCAAAGGCTTGCTAGGTAGCTTCTGCCTCAACCCATGACTGTCTTGCAGCTGCTTGGGCCCCCTTCCTGGAGCTGCCTGACATCCCTGTAATCTAACAGCGACGGGGGGAACACTCAGAGAAGCAGTGTTTCAGCAAGACCCACTCCAGGGCCCCTTCAGCACCTGCTCTGGCTGATGGTGCCCTTTGCTGTGCGCATTGTTGATTATTTTGCACAGCATCTCTGCCTTTGTTAATGGATGAACTACAGATTTACCAGGGAGTCCTCCATCATTTTTTTCCCCTGGTTTTGGTCTCTGTTGAACAACTAAGTTCAAAATTCTATGCTATCAACTAAAAAGAAAATCTATATGCCTTAACTGGCTGGGGTGAGCTTGACATCCTTTGTGGAGACTCCACATCCAGTAGGGAAACATGTGCACGGTGGGAGATGTGTGCACAGCAGGAGACGTGTCACCAGCTCCACTTAGATGAGTCCAGGGAGCGTCCCCAGGCAGAACTCTGGATGAGAGGCCTGCCTACCAATCGCATGTCTATGGAATTTACATGTAAACTCAGTGCGCTTGTCCTTAACCAAGAACATTCTCTGCCATGGAAATTATGGGTGTGCCCTGCTGTCTTCCTGAACCTACTGGCACCACCACACCCTGGCAGGCAGCTGACCCTCTAGCGCTTGTGAGCCCCCCAGGAGTTGTTCTGGAAAACCTGAACACCCTTACACATGCTGTTTATAGCTAGCGCCTGTGTGCTCCAACCAGGAGGACCTGCAACTGGGGTTCCCCAAGGGAGCGAGGCCCCCAGGAGCTTGATTTTGTGAACCCAGCAATACCTTTGATGTGAGCCAGCGTCCCCTCTCCCTGGTGCTAGGAGGCCCTCTGGGCCTGTCCCTTAACTGCCCACAGACCTAAGCACATCGTCAAATAGGAACCAGACTTCCACCCCCATCACTCCCAGCCCCTCACTGCAGAGCCATCCAGAGCACACTGAGGCCTTCCTGCAGGCGAGCCACGGGGGAGCAGGCTCTTCCTGCAGATGGGATCCGAGGAGGGTCCGCGTTGGCTCTAGCCCGTTACCTGGAGCAGATGCCCAGGAACAGTGGCAGCCAAGCTCACCTCTGAGTCCGCCTCTGGTTGCCCTGCTGCGTGTTGGCTGGGCCTGCCTGTCAGCTGTCAGGGGTCGCGGCCACCACATCTGAGCCTGTGAGGGACCTGCTACTGCGCCGTGCACTTAATGCAGATAATCACAACCCAGCTTCCTCTGACGGAGGGGCTAACATTACCCACAGTTCACAGGTGAGAAAACGGGCTCAGAGAGGTGGAATGACTGGTCCAAGCAGCAGAGCTGAGATGCACACTCAGATGTGTCTGGCTTCGGAGGGCCTGTGCTGCCTCTTCTGCGGTCCCTTACCTGCTGCTGGTCAGCCTTGTCCTCCTCTTCACGAACTCCAAATGCATTCGCCCCTTCCCTATGCTCGCTGCCTCCCTCTGACCTGGTGTAGCTGTGGCCAGGCCATGCCAGCTCGGTCCTCCCTGCTGGAGGGCAGAGACACCCATGCCAGGCAGCCCCCGCTGATGGAAGCACTTAACCTCAGGCCTCCAGGCTTTGTACAGCATTGTACATGTTTTCGTGCGGTTCAGTCAAATGTGCATTCTTGGCTGCTAAAGACTAGGTAGTTGAGGAATTTACCCATCCAAGGATGTAAACCATTATTCATGTTTTAGTACTCAAATGTTTTAAAAGAGGAAAAAAAGATACATTTGTTGACATAGATCAGCCCTGGAAGATTGCTGTCAAGAAGTTTTCATTATTGATATGTTTGCTTGTGTTTTCTTTTCTCCTCTTTTTCCTGTAGAAATGAAACCAGAGGTAAGGTCAAACTTGGTGAGCAGGGCCCTCAGATCCTGGGTGTCCAGAGAATCTATATTCAGATGAGGGAAGAGAAACGCATCAACCTGACTATTGGAGGCAGGGCGTATTTGCTGTCCAACACGTCTGTGATTATTAAATGCCCAGTGCAATGATTCCAGAAATCTCTGATCCAGTGGGACAAGGACGGCCACTGCCTGTGGAACTCCAGATGACTCGGCATCACCGAGTTACGCGTGCTGAAGATCCACAGCCTCGCCGTCCCTGACATCAGCGTTTACCGGTGCATTGCGGGCTCGGCACGAGATATGGTGGTTCTCAAGCTCATTGGCACCAACAACCAGCTCATTGCACCCCCAGCCCTCAGGGAGCTTGGGAGGGAGTATCCCGGGCTGGGCCACGAAGAAGCCAATGGTTTGGAAGCCATGTGGCATAAGATGAGGCAAATGTGGAGTAACAAAAACGAGCTTTACCTGGGCCACGGCCAGATCAACAAGCAGCCTTTCTTGAGTGCTCTGTTGGGCCACTGCAGCGATTCTGCAGGAAACACCGACTCCTGGGAGTCTTGGAAAAAGCAGTTTGGAGCAGCCGTTAAGCAGGGAGCATGCAGCATGGATGCTGCCCAGTTCGACAAGCTGATAAGAAACATGAGCCAGCTCCTGGACGCTGGAGAGGTCAGTGACAACTTGGCCTTGCAGCTGATCTACCAGCTGGTGGCCGACTTAGGGTGCAGCCAGACCCCATGCAGTGGAGGGGTACCCATGGGGAAGTGCCCCCCTCAGCCCTGAGGGGGGAGACAGGAAGTGTGCCCCAGGGCTCCAGTGGGACGAACTTCAGCAAGCTGACCTTCAAGCCACAAGGGCCCACTCTCATGTGGCAAAGTCAGCCTTCCTCGGTCTCATTTAATAGAACGGTGACTTCAAGGATTTGCGGGATGGTGTACATTACAGAAAGAACATAGGTCGTCAGTATACTTTGTGAGCTTGTTACCCCCGGGCGGGCCATGTATACATGGACCAAGGATGGAGAACCCATACAACCCTCAGAAAAGTGAGTGAAGTAAGAATTTTTGGGATACCTTCTAGATGGTTCACTTTGTGATACTTTCTTAATGATGTTTACAGCTTCCTTGAAAATATTTTCAAATTCTTTCTTCTAAGAACGTGTTTCCAACAGGATTATTTGGGAGAGAAACTCCAAAATGTTAGGATGTGCTTATCATATATGCACTGGAATTTGTGAAGTTAAACCACACTGTCCCAGTCACTCTCCTGTAGGTGTGACACAAGACTGGGTATGGGAAGCCTGAGTTTAAGCATGTGTAGACACTGCAGAGCATTCAGACAAAATCCGTACAAGGCCATTAGGAAGTAACACACCTGCAGTGATCCTATATCAGGTAGGAACTGCAAATTGGAATTCACAGCCCTTCCAGGTCTGGGACACAAGCCCCCTCATTTGAGCTCCCATCAGCTCCGTGAGTTGGGCAGGGCAGGGGTTAATTGTTTTCTGATGAGGTCATTGAGAAACAGAATCACATGACTAAATTCATGGCCAGTCAGACCCAGGCACCATATCTCTTGAACACCCCCAGCAATGTTTGAATATTACACAAGGCCTGAGTAGAAAGATCTGGCATCTGAAGGAGTTTTCTATATTGTGCAATTTTTTTTTTCATAAAATCCAAAAATAAGGTGATAAGGCTCTAAGTTTTTTGAGATGTTTGAAACACAGTATTAAGTCATTCATTTTATTGTGTTCTCTGTATCGGTGCAAGAATATCACATATCATTCATTTTACATAAAATAATGGAGGATAACAGAAATATGAATTCACATTTGCATTCTCTATTGCCTCTAAATCTTGCTGTTGTGCACATAGGACTGGAGATGTTTTGCTTTCTTTTAATTTGCATTTAAGCAGAAGCTGTACCTTCTCTGCCTCTAGGGACTGTTAAGAGACACAAACAGAACCGCAGATGTGAAATTGTTTGCAAACCATCAGGTACTTTAGAAATGCAAGTTTTATTTTTGTCACGCCTTTTGTACATTGAGCCCAACATGTGAAACATCAGAAGAAATCTAGGTAAAAGAAATCTAGGTAAAATTCAATTTTTTATAGTAAATTATTAGGCTATGTCTTAGAATAAAAATGTAAGACGAATCTCATTTAAAAATTTTTTGCCCTGGAATTTTGAACACAATATGTAATGAAGTTTTAGAAGTGGAATAAACCTTCCAGATCAACTAGCTTAGCAATTCTCAAATCTTTGATCTTAGGACCTGTTTAAAGTTAAAAAGGGATTGAGAAGCCCAAAGAGCTTTTGTTAATATGAGTTACATCTATTGATGCTTATCATACTGGAAATTAAAACCAAGAAACATTTAAAATATTTGTTTATTAAACTATCTAGAAATAACAGTAAGTAGCCCATTACATGTTCACATAAATTACATAGTTTCTGAAAAGTGATATTTTTAAAGATTTACTGATAACAATGGCATTGTTTTACATCTTTGTAAATCTCTTTAATGCCTGACTTAATAAAATACAGCTGGGTTCCCATAAATGCTTCTACACTCATCTTCCATGTATGTTGTTTCAGTTGAGATTCTAGAGAAAATTTGGCTTCATACAGATACGTTAGTTGGAAGAAGGAATATTTTAATAGCCCCTTCAGATAATTGGCTATTCTTTATAACTACACTAAAACTGGACAAATGGTAGTATCTTATGGGTTTATTGGAAAGTTCAATCTGAGACCATGTAATTTTTACACTCTGAAATCTATTGTTGTATCTTGAACTTTCAGTGGATCTTTTACCTATATAAATTTTATGACATTGTGCATTGGGCATTTGGAAAATATTGGCTGAGTTATATAGCTCTTCCAAATATTGACACATTTGATTATTCAATGTAAAAAATATTCTTTAACATTTACCCATCTCATCTCATCAGAGAAGCCTCTGAGTTTTGGGAAGTTACCAGATCACACTGGAGGATATAAATTTCCCAAAATTTGATTTTTACTTGAAAGCTTGAATTTTATCACAGTCAACAAGTACTGTCAGATGTTTTCCTTGAATTGTCCAGCTCATTTTCATTCATCTAAAAAAAACATCTGGCTTATATACCCAAGTCCTAGTAATCATAGTTTATCTGTCATTCTTTCAAGTCGAAAAAAAGCAACTAGTTCAGCTACCAGTTCACACTGTCACACGGACATACTTAGGCTTGCAGAAGGGCTGTGTGTGTTCACACAGAATCTTAGAAACATCTGCGCTCGAGGGCTCAGATCTGGTAAAATTAATCAGATTTACTGCCTCATTAAGAACATCCTTAGGGAAAACTGGCATGTTTGTTTTTACTGTGAGCGTGTGGTGGTCAGGAATACAGGGACTTCTGGGGCCCCCAGGACCCACTGTTTTGGTTCCTTCTGTCATGCCAGCAGTTTCTACCTCTGCTACTCTTACTATCCATGCAAATGTCAGCACCACAAAAATGGCAAATGATGCCTTAGTATTGTTAGGAAAATAGCCTTGGCCTCATGGCCACCCCGTGGTCCATGCCCCACCCTAGGAGGGCTGCTCAACAATTTCACTTTATAAATTGTGAGGAAACAGAGGCTGAGAAAGGTAAGTGATCAGCTGGCCTATGGCCATAGTAGAACAGGGATGAGCTAGGGCATGGTCACTTTAGGTAAATGTTTGTTGAAGTCAGTTGATTTTAAAAAGTTTGACTTGATCAAATGGAATTAACACTAGTGTCCGAAGCTGAGACTCCTGGAGGTTTTATATAAAGAAGTTTTGACGTGGTACCACCTACTCAGATGTGTTTCTGCCATACTTTAAGAATCAGCCACTTGATATCGGAAGCAATTCCACAGGGCCATTAAAACTTCTTGTTTTAATTTTTAAGAGAAAAAAAAAGATCCATTTTCATTTCCATTTTTTTCAAGCTTACCTAAGTTGTTCAACTTATGCTTAATATCTTTTATGTAACAAAGGTCCTCACTTCTAGATATATTTTTCTGAAATAAGTAAGTGTATTTATTTTTCTGAATCTCACAAAGCTTTCCAACTGAAGTAATTCAGAAATGGAATTATGTTTCTGAGAGCTTGTATCCAATAAGAGGAAACCGTATAGACAAGCATGTTTTGATGCCAGCTGAGTAAGAAATCTCAGGAAGGGAAGGTGGGTGGGCCCCGGGGCTGGTGCTGATGGAATGATCAGCTCTGTTGTTACTTCAAGATTAAGGTTGTGCAGCAGAGGCCAAGGTCAGATCCCTGTAAGAACTCCCCACACTGGTTTTCCAGCCCAGGGACCCATCCAGGCTACATACCTGCATGGCTTCCCCTGGCAACGAGGGTTGCTGTACTCAGCTATTCCTAACCTCAGTGATTTCTCACTGGACTGTAAAATTGAAGCCTACAAAATAAAGGCATTTTCTGAGAATTGCCAAATGATACAACATATATACGAAATGATTTGAGAAAACATTTTAGTGTATTGTTTTTTTCTAGTTACTAGCTACACTTTTGTTCTTAATCAGCTATTCCTTTATAGGGATTTGACAGTGAAAGTCCAGTCCTACCAGCAGCTCCTCTGCCATACTCCTGGTTTTGTGCTGGGCAATTCAGCTGTTAGGATTTCTGCCCACTTCTGTAGATTCCATGTGTGAGTGGCAAGGGGGCTCGCATCCTTCTAGTATATTCCCTCTATGCCCTTATTCTGTGCCATTCTGAGCATACATATAGTCAAAAGTTTTTGAGAATTTGCTGTATAAAAGTCACTGTACTAAATAAGCCCAGAAAACACACAGCTGTGAGTAAGATTTGGTCCCTGCCCTTGAAACGATCACAATCTAGTGGGAAGAAACAGAGATTTCACCAAATAAGTACATGAACCGGAGCAGCAGGAGCCCAGAGGGGCAGAAGATAACTCGGAGTGTTGGGGAAAGGTTTACAGGAGAAAGTACATTTGATCGAGGAGTCAGGGAGTCCATTGGAGTTTGCCCGAAGGGCAACATATGCAAAAGCCCAGGGTGATGAATGAGCGTGGAACGTTCTGGAACCCTTGAGAGGTCCATTATGGCTGGACCCTAGGATGAGCAACATGCAGTGACAAGAAATGGAGAGGTGGCCCAGCTCAATGGGCTCATGTTGTCCATGAAGAAACATAGTATTTTGTGGTCAGAACAGTCTGTATTGCTAAGATCAGTAAAGTGGGAGGGGGCGGGGAAAAAGTACTACATGGATCATTGATCCAGACTATTAAGAAGCAATTTCAAATCATTTAAGAAAAAACATTTAAATTGAAACAAAAGCAGACCATGCCCTCCTTTCCATCCCCTGAATAATCACTCCCCCGTCAGGATTCACCTGACCAACTCTTGAGTCTCAGGTGGCGTCTGCATGCAGGTGCTTATGAGCCTCAGCAACTGGGAAACGAGGAGCCTGCAGAGGTCAGCCCTGCCTGTCAACCACATGGTCCAATCCAGTGCGATGCTGCTGTAGCGTTCTTACCTCCGCTGACTTCTTCCTACAGGGACAGTGTGACAGTGAGTGTGTAACTGTCACCCAGCAGCATTAACTCAAGACCCACTCCCAGTGTGAAAATCCGAATTAAAAATCCACACCTTGTTAGGAAGGATTTGGGCAGAAAATGAGGGTTTAACATTCAGCAAACTAAGGTTTGCTAGTTTATCTCTTTTAAAACGTGGTGTGTGGAGCACTGAGTCCATCCAGAAATCTGTTCTTATGCCAAGTGTGATAGGAAGACTGAGTCTCCAAGCACTGTCCAGCCCGGCCACCTCCGTGAGTTTAACACAAGGAGAAAGACTTTCCCACTCTCTAGCTGGTATAGTTTCCTGCCAGTAGGCAGGAGACCCTACAGGATGATCCTCTGGGATCCTTACCAGCCCGAAGTCTGTAACCTGGCAGTCTTCTTTCTTGTGACCTGGTGTCGTCCTTGGGCAGTTAAACGTGCTCCATGAATGCATCCTCTTTCTAACTGACCTGCAGAGTGGTTTTGGATGGAACCGGAAACTTACAGATACGGAGCCCTACGAGGAAAGAGCAAGGAAGATACAGGTGCTCTGTAGTTAGTCATCTCGGTTCAGACGCAGGAAGTTCTTCGGTGCTGTATGCAGGTAATGCCCATTGTTGAAATTTGGAATGCCTGGTTTGGGGGGGTTCGTTTTTAATATTAAACTCTAGAACAGCGGTTCTCAAACTTCAGTGTGCACCAGAACCACCTGGGGGGGTTGTTAAAACAGATCTCTTAACCCCATTCCTGGAGATTTGGACCCAGTAGGTTTGGGATGCAGTCTGAGAATTTTGCATTTCTTAACACGTTCTCAGGTCATGCGGACTCTGCCGTCCGGAGGACCGTACTTTGGAAGCGGCTGCGCAGGAGCTCGCTTTCTGAGAACTGGGCATTAATGAGACAGCGTGAAATCAGCAGCACTGATCATGTGGCTTTGCATCTTTAAGTGCCATGAGCCACTGAGAGAGAATAATTACTCTTGCGGGGTCGCTGTATCCGCCCCTAGACATGCCCACCACTCCTTACAAACACTTTGAGGAGGTCAGAACTGTCAGAGTAATCTTCCCAGGAGGCAGGCAATGTCCTTTCAATATTAAAATGTGCTTTAATTACGAAGGAACATTTTAGGTGATATGGTTGTAAGCAGTGACTCCCTGTGGCAAACTCATATTCTGGGATTAAAAATAAAACAAGAGAGTGTACCTCCAAATCTCTTTGGTTTCTGGGGTCTGATGTTCAAATGGACTAACTGAGGAGAGGGGCAATATCAGGGGTTAGAATCCGGGATTCAGACAACTAAGCATTGAGCTTTGTAGCAAGTACTCTTGTCCAGAAACTGAGGAGGTGGACCCGTTGGTTTTAAAAGCTCCCTGAGTCTGTTGGCTGGAGTCTGAGTCCCTCCCCGGACTGCATTCCCGACGAAGGGCCTTGATTTCCTGGGCCTTAATCCTCCTGGGTTGTTCTTTCCTGTGCATATCAGCCCCTTTCCAGAAAACATCTGTTCCAAGGCTCTGAAACTGTGGAAGGAATGGCCATCCCCCTTGCAGCTCCGAGGCTCCCCTCCAGTCCATCCCAGAACAATCCAGCTTCCTAAGGGAGCTGGTGCAACGTCCTCGGGGCCCAGGGGACATGCTGAGACAGGCACAGCCCTCATCCCGCCCAAGGTCTCCTATCTTTTCAGCTCTCAGGATAGCTGTCCACTGTCCCCAGACCTCCAGGAGAGGATGGGACATTCGGTTACCCAAGCAGGATCGTTCCAAAGTTCTCTTCCCCAGAGTACATGGTTTCCAAACAGCTGGCTAAGATGTTATGCTTTCATGCACTACGCATGGGCCATGAGACACATTCAGCAAATGCGGCCCCCCACTCCAGCAGCTCCAGTGCCTACGGTGGAGTAGGGGGTTCAGCTACAGCGATAAGTCCGCCTCGAGGGAAGCTCTGGTAACACCCTCTCTGGGATGCTGCCTCGCTGGCCCCACATGCTACAGAGAGAACCCTGGGCAGCCAGCACCTCTTTCCCTCTCAAAGCCCACCACCTGAATGCTGCAGGTGTCTGCCGCCAGCCTGTGAGCTGCTTGCCGGCAAAAAGAGCTGTTTTCTGACTCTTAATTCCTGGTGTTCAGCTCAGGCACAGAGTGCATTTCTGAAATATCCTCCTGGTCTGTATATGGTCGTTGCAATGCACGCTTGTAGCCATTTTTTTGCCTGCACCCACCCATTGCCTGTCTGTCCGTCTGTCCCCTGAGCACCCTGAGGCTGTGTATGTGCAGGTGCCCAGGGAGCCATTACTCTGCCTCTGTCCCCAAAGCCCACCAGAGGCAGCACTGTTTACCAAAGAGCAAAAACCGAGCCTAACCTCATTTCCCTCTCCCTTTGACTTAAGAGGCACCTGTCATCTTGTCTGTTGAAAGAAATATCACCAGACTAGAGCCTGGCCATCTGTCCGTCATGGTTGGAGGCCTCGTGGAGGCAGCTCTGGGGGCAACTGTGGCGATCCGGTGTCCTGTGAGAGGTGAGTGTGCGCGTCTCCTGGCTGGTCCACTGTTGCCAGGGGGACACCCGCTGGCATTTTGGCATCCAAGCCTCTAAGCATCAGCCTGGGAGGCTCCAAGCTCTTGTTCTCCCGCACAGTGACAGGAAAGCCATCCCTCAAGGGTGAGTACTCAGTAAGGAGCTCAGAGACCAGTGTGGAAGCAGAGTGCCGCTTTGCTCAAGGCCCCTGAAGGCTGGGGACTGCTTTGCACGCTGGCACTGGCAGGACCAAGACGAGGGTCCCTGTGGCAGGTCTGCCCACGAGGCCAACTTCCAGCCAAGAACATGGAGTCCGAGCGAGGGCATTTGTAGGAAGCTGTTAGGGGATCTCCAGCGAGAAGGGGTCTGTGCTGGGCCCAGCCAGGGTGGGCAGGGGCTGGCCCGCACCCCCTCCGTGCCGTGGCTGGGTGGGCAGCACGTCTGTGCCCAGTGGCCTTTTCTGCTTGTTTATAAGGGCAGATAAATCTCTGTTCTAACCAATTCATTCTATCTTAGGAGAAATAATACTTTTAGTCTGACTTTGCCCTAACCCCACAACCATTCTTCCTCTGGAAACCACAGATTCTTAATCTTACCGTGGCCACATGCATCTCCAAACCGATAAAACATGCTTCACACATGTCCGTTTTCCAGCCAGGAGGCTGTGTGAATGGCTTGGTTGGTTTTTCAAGTTGATGGTGGGCTCCTCAGAACTAAGGTCTGTTATTTTAAGGTGACTTTGCGTGGGCCTGTGACTTACGTGCATTGATTTAACTCTCAGGCCAGCTGTGTCTTCCCGGTTTGCAGGTTCTAACGAGGTGCCCGTAGTTGCAGCCACTTATGATAAATCCAGCTAAGGCTGTGACCCAAATAGCCCAAGGTGACTAGGGGAGGCCTGGCTGCAGTTCTCCGTGACACCGAGAGGGTGCACGGAAGGAAGGGGCCCTAGGACACCCCACCCGGGCCCCAGCTCCCCGGCTCCTGCAATGGCTGGTCCCCTGCCATGTTGCCAGGGCTGCACCTTTGCCTCCACAAACTGGAAATCTGCTAACCCCCAAGGTATTATTTTTCACCCCTTGGAAGTCCCTGCACATCTGGCCTACACAGGCTTAAAAAATCCATCCAGCTTCCCAACTGACTCCACCCACAAATACGTGAGTTTTCTGGCAAATGCGTAGACCGTTACGGATCAGGCCAGCATTGTCTGGCCACGGCAAGGAGGAGAGCAGAGTGGAACTTGGCAGTTGCCAAGCCACAAATGTCTAGAGTTTCTACAGCCTCACACCTGCAGAAGATTCTGCAAAATAGATCTGACTTATATTAAGAGAAACCTCAACTTTTAACATTATTTCTAAATTTCTTACTTCCACAGTCGTTTAATTTCAGGCTTTCTGGGAGATGAACTCTTGAGAGGATTGCAGTGTGTAATTTGCTGTCCTAAGGCAGGGGCTGGATTCACTGGACACTCTTCTCAAGTGAAGCATCTAGGAAAGACCATTAAGCTCATCTCAGTTTTATTCCCGCGGGGGGCCCTTCTCTGACCACCCCGGGTTCCAGCAGTCCCTGCTGGCCTTGCCATTGCAGCCTTGGGGCCTGGGCGAAGCTCCTCTCCCTCCTTCCTCTGCTTCCAGCTCTTATTGGAATTGTCCCCTTGGTCTTTCCTTACCTGGCAGTCATGCCCGGGGGACTAGACCCCAGGAACTAATCAGGAGTCCTTTTCTCTTCAAAATAAACCTGTCTCATTTTGAGTCCTGTGCCATTTTAAATAAACCTGTAGTGAACTTCCTGTTTTCTTATGGGCAGAAGCCATAGCTAACTTAGCCTATTATGGAGAGCCGACTTTTTAAAGACAGCTGGGGAAAAAGATAGAGGGTTTTACAGACAGTTCGGTCACTAGCTCGTATATGTCCACAGGTGAGACATGCGTCTTCTGACCCTCTTCTCTGAAAGAGGAAATATACCCTATTAATGGAAGAAGGGACTTTGGTTACGATTGAATCCAACCCCTTATGTTACAGATGAGGGCATTATAATATTTACTTGAATGCTGCTGTACAAAATCACATTTGCATGTTGCAAATCGCTATTATTTCTGTAAATGGATGGCATGTATACATTTTTCTTTTATTTTTCAGTTGCCCGTAAAAATGCCTTCCACTAATTATCATGAGCTCATCTAGTCATACCTTTTAGACCGATTCGGTTTTTGTCACAGCCAAATATGTTTTTCATTAATTCAGTTATTTAATTAAGTTCTTTAATTCAGTTATTGATAATGATTGATTCTAGTCACTGTTTAATGATATTTCTAATAACTGTATCAAATCTGTATTTCTAAAGGTTAAAAGTTCTAAGTTGCAAGAGTTGTCTTGCTCTTTTTTAATAAGAAAGTTTTTTCTAAAAATGGGAAGAAATTTAAACTGCACCTCTCTGCCACCTTCTGGTAGGAAAGGAAAACTCACCAGAGGAAAATGACCCATAAATACCAATAACTGTTTTGATTTTTTTTTCCTTCTGTTAATGCTTAGTTAGATAGAATCATTTATCGATGATTTTCTGTTATGTGTATATTCTGTGTTCCTTGTTTTCTTATTCCTTAAGCTCATAAGGAGGGCAGCCGATCTGAGTCTCTTCTCTGAAGTGTTCTGGGTGGGTGCTGAGCTCCTCTTGGTCTCTGAGAAGCTCTCTCGGCCCACAGACAGGGATGGGGTTGAGCCAGGAAGATGGTGATTCCCAAATGGATGGTGCTGGCAACACCTGCAGTGCCCCAGTCCCAGGAGTGGAAAGTCTCTTAAGCACAAAATAAGCTGGGCAGCTGCTCCTGAGAGCAGTGAAACTGCCTGGAGGAGCTGGGCTGCTGGAAAATTTAAACTAAGCTCAGAGCAAGCCTTGCAGTGCTAGTTATAGGACACAGGTGTCTGCCTGCTTGAGAGGAGAAGCTCTGCGGTGCCGACTGCACCTGCCTTCCCACCGGGTGGCTGGCGCATAGGGATATACAGACAAGCGGTGAGCAGAGAGGCAAATAAACACATAAAATGTTAAGATGCTAGCACACTGAATTCCGAATGTATAAGACTAAGGAGGGGTTTTCCCAAGAATAGAAAGATCTTTTTTAACATTTAAAAACATCTGCTTTAAATACATTGTCGCAGGTTGGGTCCCCTGAAAGCCGATGCTGAGGTGAGCCGGGCATGCAGGGTATGTATTAGTTGTTAATCCTACGGAAGGGAGAAGGCAAAGCAGGATTAGGCAGAGGGCCCGGGAGAGTGGTGATTAGGCGCATGGAGCCTTGCCTGGCCCAGGGGAGCTTTGAAGCCTATGTGGCTCCTCAGGGCTGCCCAGCTGTGACCCACAGCGTCCAGGCCTTCATACTCCCGCCTCCGTCAGTCACCTACTTTAATGGTGAGACTTTGAAGCCTTCCCATTAAATTCCAAAAAAAGATAAGGTACCCTTTATCACTGCATCTGTTCAACACTGTTTTAAAGGCACCAGCCAATACAATATGATACAATTATTTTTAAAGGAAAATGAAGTATAGTAAGTTCTTATTTACAGACAATATAATTTAATTATCTGTATTGAAAATCCAATATATAGATGTTTTTTTCAGGCCTGTAAATTCAGTGTAATTCCAATTTTTAAAAAAGCCCTACAGGATTGCTAGAATTTAACAAACTCATTGTATAATTAAGAGAAAGTCCTTTCCCCCAAAAGAACCAGCTTTATAGAAAAATGCATTTTCCCACAAGATGTTGCATATAATTTTCAAAATACTTAAAAAGAAAACCAGAGGATAATTGGCTTACTACTGTTTTATGAACTGAACATTTTGGTGCCTTCAACCATATTCTAACTTAAAGCTAGCTTATTTTCCTCAATCTGTGGTGGTTGAAATGCATCCCCTCTTCTGTACTATGTTTATCCCTTTAAACCATATATAATCCTTGAAATATCTCAAATGATGTTTAAAGTATATTTAAAACTTCTTCTACTCAACAAAGGCTACTCCCCCCCATCGTTTTTACCACTTCTGCCTATGATACAGCAATCTTCCCACCATCCTCCTCTCTTAACCCTGTGTTCAGCCAATCAATCAATCAATCATGAATGGTTGGAAATTCCATCCATCTTCCCATCCATTCAGCAAGCAGACACTAAGCATCTACTAAACCCGATCTTGGTCCTTAGTGTACAGAAATGAATAAGATCTGGTTTCTGCAGCTATACAGACAAGGAAACTCTGATATACTAATACAAATATGTAAGTGTTTATGACATACATCAGATACAGACGGAGCAGTTAACACTTTTAAAGGATTAGAGAGGTTTACAGAAGAAATGACATTAGAGCCAGTCCACTTGGAATCGGAAGGAAGGCTGTCTGCAGCTAAAGAAACTGCATATATGCAAAAGCAGAGAGGCTGAGAGCTCCTGGCCTCTTCGCAGAACCACGGGCAGATCTGTGTGGCCTAAAGTAGGGTGGAGAGAAAGTGGGAAGAGGTGGGTCTGGAAGTCTTAAGTCAGAGCCAGATTTAATGTCGTCCTAACACCCTAGGCCTTCACTTTATTGGCAGTGGGAAGACAAGAAAAGTTTTAAGTAGAGTGATGCTGTGAGCCAATTAGTGTTCTAGAAAGAGCATTCTGCCTACAGTTTGGATGGAAAGCTAGAGGGCAGAGAAGCCGCAGACAGCCATGAATTGAACTTGGTGAAATTGTGTCCGTGGTCATTGATCAGCTTTTTGCGCCAGACACTCAAGATACTGATTAAGATTCCATGCCTCCGATCCCTCCAAGGGAGAGGAGGCTTGATTGGCATTGAGCAAGGGATGGATGTGTCATTAACTGAGGATCTGGAACATAGTTGTCCCCAGGCTAGGGCTGGGTGCTTGCGCATAGAGGCTGAATCAAACATGGAAAGCCGCCGCCTTGCAAAGAGCTAAGGAGCGTATGCTGACAGGCAGCGCCTAGGTCAGGAACGTCCTGGAAAGCTGACCAGACTC